GAAGAACTTAAAGTACCTCACTGTAAAAAGTAAAGTCAAAGTATGTTCGTAGGCTACAAGCCTGAAAAATGTGCCATATGACTGTAACTAGTTTATATTATATCATCCATCATGATGGTGTAAACTGCTGGCCTGGAGCCACAGGGCTCTAAGTGGGGGCCCCCTGCCGTCATCAAGGCATTAACATAATAATAATAATAATAATAATAAGCTTATAAGAGCTGTGGAGAAGGAAGCAGAAGCACAAGAATGAGAAATCAACCGGTCAGTGCTGAGATCTTCAGTCAACCACACAGGGTTCCTGCGTGGAGGCTTCCTCCCGACTCAAGTAAACACTCTTTAAAGTGCTTTCTGTGTTTAACCCTGTTTCTCTGTGCTCAGGATCACTCTGCTGAACGCCACGCTCTGCTCACACCCAGCCACAGGCTAGGATTCCTACTGTAGGGGCCCTTAGCCTCGATAAGAGGCCCCTACGGCTGCTGACTGGATGATGCGCTCTGTGATCCAGTGAGTCCAGGATTTATTCAAAGCATTCAGGAGTTTACACCAAACAAAACACGACGACTCCACCTTCGTACGGTCAAACAGTTTGCTGCGTCTCCTGGCTCAGCGACAGCGGGGCCCTGTTGGACCTTGGGGCGGGGCCCAGCGGCTGCCCCTGGACGCACGCTGTTTGTTGTGCTCTGACTGTGTTTGCTCGCCCTGCTGCGGTCGTATTGATATTTAATACGTCATGTTGGAGACACCAGAGTCGGTCAGAGACCACCTGCACTCCCTGTTCACTTCTAATGGGCCTAAATATGATCCTGAACTTCATCAGACTCAGCTTTGTTTTATTTAATCTGAATCTAAACTACAACCCAGAGGGGTCTGCAGAGGTTAGTGATGCATGCTGGGAAGTCTACTGACTCACTCCAGTTAGACTGAACACATTTCCATTAAATGGAGTTTGTAGGTGAGACAGGTATCCAGGAGCACAGAGACGGTTCCCTGCTGTTGGTGTGGATCTTCTGGCTCCTCGGGGCCACGTGGACATGAGTCCGGACTGAAATGACCTTTGAAGCTGACAGGAGCCCAAAGGAGTAATGAAACCTTTCTCTGACACCAGCAGGTTTGATTACTGCTGATGTTTGTGTTTTCATTATAACTTCAGATCCTAGTAGAATGGGCTCCTACAGCTGACCGTCAGGAGCCCATAACCCATCACCAAAGTCCCATCCACAAGTAACACAATCACAGAAGGGAAACTCACTTTGCTCACGGCTTTCTGCAATAAAACACCTGGAAGGAAAAATCAGAAAAAGGTCAGTGGTCTGATTTATGTCACGATGTGAAAAGTTTGATAACCTGAGCTGTCTGATCGTATTTGTGATTCACAAACAGCTTAGATGGGCTCAGAGCAACCCCAGTGAGTTCAGCTGTGGTTGTTTCCTCCTGCGTCCAGGAGCATTTTGTCTGCTGATAAAAAGGACCCTTCATTATAGTTCATCCCAGTGAACTGCCCCACTCGACTCAGACTTATCATTTAAACCAGTTCATGTTGTTGGCATGATATTTTAGTATTAGCGTTCTGGACGCTGGGTGTTGGAGATTAGATGCACGTGGTTGTATATAGAGGGAAGTGGGAGGCACAAACTGTTCTCACCAGACCACAGAGCAGAAGACACGCAAACAACTGGAAACAAGATAAGAAATGAACCGGTATGTTCATCTGTTTGTTTATTTACTGCTGCAATAAACCACAAACCTCATCTGCAATAATCTCTCCGTGAAAAAACTTCACTCTGTGCATTAGGGGGGGGGGGGGGAATCCATACAGCACAGTATCGTGATATTTGCCATGGCAATACTGTATCGATACACGGACGCCGAGTATCGATATGTTATTATATAAATTGCAGATGGGAGTTTTAACTTTTTGGTGCTAGAATAATAAAATCTATTGCTTTTTTAGTCCACTAGAAAACTTAACAGGACCATATAGAGGACTGAAAACGTGATATTAACAAACAGAGAAATGTCTGTTTAGATCTTTTTAGATAAACAGATGTTGACAAAGTTTGACTTTAGGGACCTAATTGGAAGTTGGAAAAATGTAATAAATTGCAATAAATCTCAATAAAATGGGGACATGCTGGCCTACAGAAGACGACTGAAAAAGGGCCTTTGAGACGCTAAGTGCAGGTACAAGCAGCACATTGGGGGTCAGCAGCACCAGGTGAGATCAGCTCTTATGTAGCCTAACTCTAACATCACCACAGCAACAGGACCAGACAGGGTGTCACACACCACATCCTTAATCTCGCCATCCAACACGCTGCTACAACCACCGTCCCCCAAAACAACAGCAGTGAAAGGCCTAAATGACTTCCGCCCGCTCACCCTGACACTGCTTATTGTGAAGGGCTCAGAGAGGCACCAAGACCATCGTCCCCGATGATCTGGACGGTCACCAGGTTGTCTGTCGAGGCAACAGATCCACAGAGGACCTAATCTGCATTGTACTTCATACAGCCCTGTCCCTCCTGGAGCATCCAAACACATGTCAGGATGCTATTCATCGCCTTCAGCTCATATTTCAATATTCACAAACACGTCTTAAAGTCTTAACCTTCAAGCAAGTCCCAAGTTACTGTGATGAAAGTCAAGCAAGTCACATGTCAGGTCACATGACGTTCTTAGGAATTCAGTTAATGTCGAAACAGTTTCAGAGAGGAGGCAACTCAGTTGGATGTTGTGGTGGTCACTGATTTCTGAGATGCAGAACTTGCACAGCGCTGTTCTTTCCTTCCTGCCGTCACCGACAACTTAATCCTTTAATGTCTACAAATACGTTATACTACGTCTTGTTCTACGCCGCTGGTTCCGGAGATCCGGGCCGCTATGTGAAAGCAACATGGTTGCAGGATTATGCTACAAATGTTGGGATGATAATAAAAAAGTCAGGTCCTTTTTCTAGTCAAGTCTCAAGTCGAGTCTTTTATCTGTTATCTGGTCTTTTATATAAGCAAGTTTCGAGTCTTTGTGACTCGAGTCCCCCGCCTCTGAGTAGTGGAAGTAATAAGAGAAGTAAAATTTGGACAAATGGAGGACCACACATATTATCTAGCTCAGAGCAAACAGAGCGTGTCGGCCGCCGTAGCTTCTCCTGCTCGCTTGCAGGGTGAGCGGTGACTGATGGTGCGTTCATGTGGTGTCGTAATAATCTGTCACATTCTGCCTCTCTGATGTGTTCAGTTTAGTTCACTTAGTTTTAGTCCTGCATCTTAGTTGGTTCTGTACTTGTATTATTAGTTTTCTGCTCTGCTGAGTGTTGGGTTGTGTTCTCTGCTTGTTTTGTTGTTTATTTGGCAGTGTGTGGTGTTCAGGGTTCGGTCTGCTCGTTTCTTGTGGTCTTTAGTTTATTTGATGTTCAGTTTGTATTCTGCATTAAGGTTTGGTCCTGTCTGTTCCCCCTGCTCTATTAGTCCCTCATGTCTCTCACCTGTGGATTCCCTCCCTGCTCGTTAACACTGTCTATATATTGCCTGTATTTCAATTCAATTCAATTCAATTTTATTTATATAGCACAACAACAGCTATCTCACAGCGCTTTTCATAAAAGAGCAGGTCTAGACCGTACTCTGTGATGATATTTACTCAGTCTGTCTGATTTAGTTTTGGATCAACTGGTTTGTTTGGATTGTTTATTATTCGGTCTCAGATGGGTGATGAGGCCAACGAGTGCAGAGATATTTTTCTGAGTTGTCTCTGAAGTTTGCAATGTAGAGGCTGAACATGAACGGGGCCAGAACCGTTCCCTGTGGGGCCCCTGTGGGGCCCCTGTGCTGTTGACAATGGTGTCAGACACACAGCCCTGCGTCCTCACAACCTGAGGTCGTCCAGTGTCTATTTTTATTTTTACCTTTATTTAACCAGAAAGAAAAGACATTGAGATTAAAAGTCTCTCTTTTCCAAGAGCGACAGACATTAAAAACATATAGCATGAACGTAAAACATAGTAGGTGTGTAGGTCTGGGGGAAGCAGACCAATAATAATGTGCCAATGATTGAGTCAATGCAGACCGACCAACCCAATCATACAAGGAGCACTGAGGAGTGAGGGCTCTAAAGTTTGTGATGAACCTCAATGGTAAACCGTATCCAACAGTTTCAGGCTTTGAATCTATGCAGTGAGGTGGAGGTTCACCCCCGACCACTCCACCTTGTCCCTCGGGAGCATTGAATGGAAGGTGCTGGAAGCCTGTCCCAGGTGGGAGAGAGATCTAGTAATCCAGGGTTTATTGTTGGGAAGACACAGTCGTGGTTGGTTCTATATGTTCCACACACAAATTGATGCAGTCTGTTGTAAAATGTGTGAGACTGTAAATGCCCTCCCCATGACCGTCACAGAGTGCGTCCTCCCACAGAGAAGTTTCAGAGCAGTCTTTCACAGGTCATCTCTAACTGTCTGGGGGACAGAGGTTTGTCCAGAGGCAGGAGATGGACCAGGTTGTGGTCTGATCTTCCCAGGGGAGGGAGAGGAGATGAGTCATATGCTTCTTTGGTGTTGAATAATGGACCTTAGAATAAGAGCTGATGGGAGTTATACTGCTCCACTTCAGCTTCCTGTCAGGGTTCTACCAGGAGCCGAATAACCACGGAGGACGTCTCCTCTCCAAAACAAACAAACCCGTCTGTAAACATTAAAAACCCTGAAGTAGCAGTTTTAATCCTAAAAGACAAAACGCAATGTAACTTTTTATTAATTTCACAGCTCGTGACTGGTGAACAACCTGGATGTTGCTGCAGAATCAGGACTGGAGGTGCCCCCCACACATGTGAGCTGTTGTGTTTTTATGTGTCTTAGTTCCTTTCTCTGTGCTGGAGTTCTTTTAAGACTTTAACCAGCATGTTATTGTTATAAACTTTAAGAATAGGGTGTTTCTTCATTTAGTGTGTCAAACTTATTGTTGTTCAGGACAGAAAGGTTTCTTCAGATGTCGGCGCGTATCTCCCTGTAAAGGCTTTTACTCTGAAGGCACAGCTGCTTCGTGTAAATGCTGGTATTGTTAAGACGATGATGCTTCCTGTAAAGGCTTTTTTTTGTGAAGGGGCTGCAGCTTCCTGCGGAATGAAAAGTTTGTTTCAGCAGCAGTGAGAAGAGTTAACAGCTCCTTTATTCAGGAGGAAGTGACAGAGGTTTTACTCCAACATGCTCCTGCTGTTTGTCATCTTGCTGCACGGTAAGAGACTAACTTCAATACTTTATTAGGAGATTCAACATGTTACAAAACTACAACAACACCATCAGTAAAACAAGAACCACAGAATCCAAATCATCTCAGTTCACTTCCAGAGAGCGCAGAGCAACTCGACATCAACAACACAGCTTCTAACACCACACACCGGAAAATCTTTCCAGATCCTTCATCACAGATTAATAATTATCATTATTATTACTGCTACACCCAGTGTAGTTGAGCCAAACTGAACTGCATCCCTCACCAACATGTTAATATACTGTTGAGTATCCACTAGTATGATCACATCATCTGCATAAGCTGACAGTTTTAAAGGTGCATTACAACCTGGAAGGGTCAACGCCTGGAGATCACATCTCCGTTTGTGCAACAAAGACTCAAAAGCTAAAGAATATAACATGTTAAAGAGTGTGCAGCCCTGTCTGACTCCGCTTCAGCTTGAGAGCTCAAACCACCATTATTTTTAGCACACTCTGAATGTCACAGTATAAAACCTTAACTTTACCAGTAAAACAAGGACCACAACCACAGGCACTCAGTGCAAGCCATAAATAGTCAGCTCAACGTGATCAAAGGCTTTTTCTTGACCAATAGACATTATACTTTGAGGCCAAACAGCTTGCAGATCTCTAAAGAGTCTCCAATCAAAATAGCCTTATCAGAACTCAACCTGCAGGTACACAGTAAGTCTGATCGCAGTGAAGCGCTCACGTTTTGGTGTTTTTGGTACACTTGTACTGTGCATGTCGCCGTATTTATAAGTCGACTCCCAGTCTGTTTTCCTGTAGCCACAGTCTCTTTGTGCTCCCGTGTTACCAGTGCTTGAAGTGGACCGGTACACACCGGTACGCAGTATCGACATCTCGGCATTTAACTCTTTGGCGTACCGGGACTTCTCCCAAGCTGCCGGTTCTCTCCTCTGCTCTCTCCATATCAGGGTCTCTGGGCTCTGAGTGGAGTTTAAACTGTATTTCAGTTCCTTCCTGCTTTTACGGTATCTTGTTATTTGTTTGTGTTTTATTGTCTTTGCTCTTGTGAAAGCACTTTGTAACAAGTGTAAATAAAGATTATTATATGATATTTATACCCATTTTACCGTAACACGTGCCCCTGTGTTCATGTGCTGTGCTCAGGCTGCAAGTCAACAAATGGAAAAATAAAACCCAAAGTTTTCTGAGGTAATCTAATCTTGCTCAAACAGATTTATTAAAAAACTATTGTTGAGGAACCGGTATTGAAGTCAAGTCTGTTTCGACATCAAATATCTTCCTCTGTCGCGACTGCAGTTGTGATTAGATTAACGGTGCAGCGTCACGTGACTAAATGAAACGACGACCACAGATAATAAACTGTTACAAGGAAGCAGAAAAGGAAACATTTAGATTTTTGTAGTTCAGGTCTTACAGATCAGTCTGATCAGCTTCAGCATCCAGTCAGTCCGTCACTAACTGGTTTCCAGTGAGTCCACCAGCTGTGGAGACTCCCGATCGTAAAACAACAATAAACACGGTTAAAACAGACACAAAAGGAACTCATTTAACTACGTAGCTACTTAATCACAGTAGAAGCACAAAATGCAAACACTGATTACCAGATCAACAAAATCTAAACATATCTCTCCCGCCGCTTTTCACGGCGGGGGAATCTGGCGCCAACCCGTTAGACCGTTGCAGCCAACGCCGCAGAGACTCCAGCAACAACAGCAGAGGAAAACATAGCCATAAGATAGTTTTAATGTTCGTGCCGCTGTTGTTCTCTCCTAACATTTGACTAATTTAAATGAGAGACATCTGGCTCGTGAAAATTATAGAAAATTCTTGGGTTGTGAAACTTAAAAGATAAATAAGTAAACAACAGAAATGGTATGAAAAGGGGACTGTCGTTAATTTATTGTATTATTATTATTATAAACCCGATTCTGAGCATTTAACTTTGGGTGATAAAGCCTGGCTGGTTTTTTTTTAGCTCTGCAGGCCTCTGTGCTGGAAGGATTGCGCAATATTGCAATAGTCATTTCCGGTTAGTGCACAACAGCAGTGTTTGAGACACTACGCTGTCTAAATTAACGCACTAAGCATGTAAGTACATAGTGCACGCAGTGTACTGCATGTTAGTGTACTCAAGGAAGTACACGAATTGAGACACAGCTCAGGAAATAAAGAACATGAACCAACTGTGTCTCTGTCCTTACAGTTACCCAGCATGCCTTGGGAGTGGAGGTGATTGAGGGGGCGGAGTCTGTGGTGCTGCCCTGTGGGGCCCCTCCTGGATCTGCTTCCTCAGTGACATGGAGCCGCTATGATCTGATTCCCTCCATCATTCATGTGCATAAGAGGACAAGTCAGGCTGAAGAAGATGATCTTACAAACCAAAACCAGCTGTTCACAAACCGTACAGAGATGCAGCCTGACGCTCTGAGGACTGGACACGTCAGCCTCACTCTGAAACACATTCAGCTGTATGATGGAGGCACCTACAGCTGTGGCGCCCGTGGGGGGGGGAGGCTGAACCAGACACATGTACAGCTGAAGGTCATCAGCAAGGAAGAAGCGGAACTCAGAGAACAAGGTGGGTTTGCAGACGAGACAGAACAGAGGTCACATAGTCTGGAATCAGTTTCTGCTGTCAAACAGCTCAGTGGATCAACAGTTTGTTCTGGATTCATCAGACAGGAAATGCCTGTCTCTCTGAAGGCACAGCTTCTTCGTGTAAATGCTGGTATTGAAGTCAAGTCTGTTTCGACATCAAATATCTTCCTCTGTCGCGACTGCAGTTGTGATTAGATTAACGGTGCAGCGTCACGTGACTAAATGAAACGACGACCACAGATAATAAACTGTTACAAGGAAGCAGAAAAGGAAACATTTAGATTTTGTAGTTCAGGTCTTACAGATCAGTCTGATCAGCTGCAGCATCCAGTCAGTCCGTCACTAACTGGTTTCCAGTGAGTCCACCAGCTGTGGAGACTCCCGATCGTAAAACAACAATAAACACGGTTAAAACAGACACAAAAGGAAATCATTTAACTACGTAGCTACTTAATCACAGTAGAAGCACAAAATGCAAACACTGATTACCAGATCAACAAAATCTAAACATATCTCTCCCGCCGCTTTTCACGGCGGGGGAATCTAGGCGCCAACCCGTTGCAGCCAACGCCGCAGACACTCCAGCAACAACAGCAGAGGAAAACATAGCCATAAGATAGTTTTAATGTTCGTGCCGCTGTTGTTCTCTCCTAACATTTGACTAATTTAAATGAGAGACATCTGGCTCGTGAACATTATAGAAAATTCTTGGGTTGTGAAACTTAAAAGATAAATAAGTAAACAACAGAAATGGTATGAAAAGGGGACTGTCGTTAATTTATTGTATTATTATTATTATAAACCCGATTCTGAGCATTTAACTTTGGGTGATAAAGCCTGGCTGGTTTTTTTTTAGCTCTGCAGGCCTCTGTGCTGGAAGGATTGCGCAATATTGCAATAGTCATTTCCGGTTAGTGCACAACAGCAGTGTTTGAGACACTACGCTGTCTAAATTAACGCACTAAGCATGTAAGTACATAGTGCACGCAGTGTACTGCATGTTAGTGTACTCAAGGAAGTACACGAATTGAGACACAGCTCAGGAAATAAAGAACATGAACCAACTGTGTCTCTGTCCTTACAGTTACCCAGCATGCCTTGGGAGTGGAGGTGATTGAGGGGGCGGAGTCTGTGGTGCTGCCCTGTGGGGCCCCTCCTGGATCTGCTTCCTCAGTGACATGGAGCCGCTATGATCTGATTCCCTCCAACGTTCATGTGCATAAGAAGACAAGTCAGCTTGTTGAAAAAGATGATCTTGTAAACCAAAACCAGCTGTTTACAAACCGTACAGAGATGCAGCCTGACGCTCTGAGGACTGGACACGTCAGCCTCACTCTGAAACACATTCAGCTGTACGATGGAGGCACCTACATCTGCACCGCCCGTGGGGGGGGGAGGCTGAACCAGACACATGTACAGCTGAAGGTCATCAGCAAGAAAGAAGCAGAACTCAGAGAACAAGGTGGGTTTGTAGACGAGACAGAACAGAGGTCACATAGTCTGGAATCAGTTTCTGCTGTCAAACAGCTCAGTGGATCAACAGTTTGTTCTGGATTCATCAGACAGGAAATGGAGCTTTAAGGAGGTCGTTCAAGGTCATAAGAAGCTGTTTCTGTTTTCTGTTGCAGCCATTCAGCACCGAAACATGTTAACCGGTGCGTTGATCTTTAACTTCCTTTTGGTGGCGGTCCTCCTGGGACTTGGAGTTTACAGAAAAGGTGTGAGTGTCTGATCGCTGCATCTCTGATTGTCCACTAACTGTTTATAAAGTGAAGCTGCTGACCTCTGACCTTTAGTAAACCCTGTTCTCCTTTAATAGGTCTGTCTGTGCTGACTGCTGCAGGTGTGCTGACTGCTGCAGGTGAGCTGATGGAAGTCTGTCTGTCTGTTGACCTCTGACCTTTACTGACCTCTGTCCACCTGTTGCAGGTGCAGCTGTGTTGCTGTGTGGACTGATGGTTTCTGCAGGTGAGCTGATGGAAGGTAATAAAATAAAAAATAAAATAATAAAAATAGATCATCTTGCTTCTCCATAAGTACAATAAAAATAATAATACCAATCAACTGTATGGCTTCAGCAGGTATCACTGAAGTACTCTGTTGGTATCAGTAGCACTTTAACTGGTTTTGCTACTGGTATTGTAAAACTCTAAACCAAACCCAGCCCTGGGTAAAAACTAGTCTTGATGAGCGTCCTTGTTTTTAATTCCTTGGATGTTGCAAACCTACTTGTCAACAAAGCTGACTGTGATTCTTGTTCTCCTCCGTCAGCCTCCTCTCTGTCTGTGCTCAGACTCTGCTGCCATCTAGTGGTCTTCTGTCCGTACTGCGTCTCTACTGGTCTGATGCTGTCCATCTGCTGCGGCAGGAAGACGGGAAACCGAGCGGCCGTCTCCACGGAGATGACCCGGCGGGTCGGAGGAAGCGATGACATCGCTGCTGATGTCACCGCTGAGCACGCCTTCTGAGCTGTGAACACAGTGACAGCAGCTGTCTTTAACGTGGACATGAGAGTTTCTACCATCTGCTCTTATGGAGACGCTGCTGGAGAGCTTTGTCTGACACGTTGCTCCAGAAGTTTGCTTTCTTTACTCTTTTTATTCTCTTCTATCTCAAAGTGTTTCTGGCTTTGTAGGTTTTTAAGCTTTGGCAAATAAAAACAAAGTATCCCAAAGGTCTCGAACCAATCAGCTGCCTTTATGGCCTGAAACAGAGCCCCAACCTGAGCATCTGAAGGGGAGGACCTTGAGATACTTGTTCAGTTTCTCCAACTCCATCCAGTGTTGTGTCCCTGAGCAAGACACTTAACCCCTCGTTGCTCCAGAGGCGTGCGACCTCTGACATGTAGAGCAATTGTAAGTCGCTTTGGATAAAAGCGTCGGCTAAATGAATAAATGTAAATAAGTGGGATGAATTTGGTTTCCGAGCAAAGGGGAGCTTGAGACTAAGGGGGCTTTCACACCTACCTCGTTTGGTCTGGACTTTCGGACTTTTCAGTTTGGTCCGAACCAAATTTGTAGGTGTGAAACTTCCTCCGACCACAGACGTAATTTCTCTGTTATATTCTTGTGTTTTAGTAACGGCTCGTTTGTGTTTCTATTCTACTGAACAAATGTGTGAAGGGGTGAAGCGCCCTGCCAGGAAACTCTGTATACATCTAAATATAATTTACTCAGTTCCTTATTGTTATTATGATTTAATGACTAATCTTTCTCTGGGCTCTAGCGAGAACCAAGTTACATTTTAAATGGAGCCGTGTCCAAACAACATAAAGGAACCCACAAGCAGAGTGAGGTCATGTGACAGAACAGTAGCTTCTCATTTATCTCTGTCTTTCTAAGAAGGAGCTGCATTATTAAGCTCAGCGGCCTGTTCTTGGTCTGACGTGAGAAAATAACCACAAGGAGAGGATGGAAAAGAGAAGTGAGTCGACAGAAGATCTTTATCAGGTTCACACCCGTGCTGTGGTTCAGCTGTTACAACATGTTCAGTCACATGATCAATAACTGCAGTCAACAACAAGGCAAGGCAAGTTTATTTGTATAGCACATTTCAACAACAAGGTAATTCAAAGTGCTTTACATAAAACATAAAAGCAAAAACACAAAAAAGTTTAAAAGCAACATAAAATATAAAAAGTTTCAGTGTTACAATCAGGGTGAAAAGAGTTAAATGGAAAATAAAAACAGGCTGAGGGGTTGAGCAAATAACTGAGTTACAATCATCCTGCCACTGCCTGCCTGTCTCTCTGCCTGTCTGTCTCTCTGTCTGTCTCCCTGCCTGTCTCTCTGCCTGTCTCACTGCCTGCCTGTCTGTCTCTCTGCCTGCCTGTCTCACTGCCTGCCTGCCTGTCTCTCTGCCTGCCTGTCTCTCTGTCTGTCTCCCTGCCTGTCTCTCTGCCTGTCTCACTGCCTGCCTGTCTCTCTGTCTGTCTCTCTGCCTGTCTCTCTGCCTGTCTCTCTGCCTGTCTGTCTCTCTGTCTGTCTCTCTGCCTGTCTCACTGCCTGCCTGTCTCACTGCCTGTCTGTCTCTCTGTCTGTCTCTCTGCCTGTCTCACTGCCTGCCTGTCTCCCTGCCTGTCTCTCTGCCTGTTTCTCTCCCTTCCTGTCTCTCTGCCTGTCTGTCTCTCTGTCTCACTGCCTGCCTGTCTCCCTGCCTGTCTCACTGCCTGTCTCTCTCCCTGCCTGTCTCTCTGCCTGTCTCACTGCCTGCCTGTCTCCCTGCCTGTCTCTCTGCCTGTCTCTCTGCCTGTCTGTCTCTCTGCCTGTCTCTCTGCCTGCCTGTCTCTCTGCCTGTCTGTCTCTCTGCCTGTCTCTCTGCCTGTCTCTATGCCTGTCTGTCTCTCTGCCTGTCTCTCTGCCTGTCTCACTGCCTGCCTGTCTCTCTGCCTGTCTCTCTGCCTGTCTGTCTCTCTGCCTGCCTGTCTCTCTGCCTGCCTCTCTCTCTGTCTGTCTCTCTGCCTGCCTGTCTCTCTGCCTGTCTCTCTGCCTGTCTCACTGCCTGCCTGTCTCTCTGCCTGCCTGTCTCTCTGCCTGTCTGTCTCTCTGCCTGCCTGTCTCTCTGCCTGCCTGTCTCTCTGTCTGTCTCTCTGCCTGCCTGTCTCTCTGTCTGTCTCTCTGCCTGTCTCTCTGCCTGTCTCTCTGCCTGCCTGTCTCTCTGCCTGTCTGTCTCTCTGCCTGCCTGTCTCACTGCCTGCCTGCCTGTCTCTCTGCCTGTCTGTCTCTCTGCCTGCCTGTCTCTCTGCCTGTGTGTCTCTCTGCCTGCCTGTCTCTCTGCCTGCCTGTCTCTCTGTCTGTCTCTCTGCCTGCCTGTCTCTCTGCCTGCCTGTCTCTCTGCCTGTCTCACTGCCTGCCTGTCTCTCTGCCTGCCTGTCTCTCTGTCTGTCTCTCTGCCTGCCTGTCTCTCTGCCTGTCTCTCTGCCTGTCTCTCTGCCTGCCTGTCTCTCTGCCTGCCTGTCTCTCTGCCTGTCTGTCTCTCTGCCTGCCTGTCTCTCTGCCTGTGTGTCTCTCTGCCTGCCTGTCTCTCTGCCTGCCTGTCTCTCTGTCTGTCTCTCTGCCTGTCTCACTGCCTGCCTGTCTCTCTGCCTGCCTGTCTCTCTGCCTGCCTGTCTTGTTAGTCCTGATTCCTCTCACCTGTGTTTCTCCCCCCTGCTCGTTAGTCACTGGTGTTAAATGTTTGCTGTTTTGGTTCAGTCTCTGTCCGGTCATTGCTGGATGTTGTAGTGGTGGAAGCAGCCTTTCCTGTCTCGTCCAGTTTCCTGACTGTTCCCTGTTAGTTCTTGGATCTTTGGATTTTCTGTTGGATGGCCCTATTTGTTTGGACTTTCAAATTCAGTCACTCAAATGTAAGTGTGCTCGCCTTTGTTTAATAAATCACTGAACTGTACCAGTCAGCCTGTCTGTCCTGCATTTGGGTCCTCAAACCTGCTCTACCCTACACCAGTTGTAACAACCAGTGCTTCACGTGGACCGGTACACACCGGTATGCAGTACCGGCACCTCTGCATTTAAATTTTTGCCGTACCGGGATTTTTTGTCTGTATGTGTTCCTGTCTGTTGCTGTATGTGTTCCTGTCTGTTGCTGTATGTGTTCCTGCCTGTTCATGCCTGTTGCTGTATGTGTTCCTGTCTGTTGCTGTATGTGTTCCTGTCTGTCTCTATATTCCTGTCTGTTGCTGTATGTGTTCCTGTCTGTGTCTTTCTTCCTGTCTGTTGCTGTATGTGTTCCTGTCGGTCTCTGTCTTCCTGCCTGTTGCTGTATATGTTCCTGCCTGTTGCTGTATATGTTCCTGTCTGTCTCTGTCTTCCTGCCTGTTGCTGTATGTGTTCCTGTCTGTTGCTGTATGATTTCCTGTCTGTCTCTGTGTTCCTGTCTGTTGCTGTATGTGTTCCTGTCTGTGTCTTTCTTCCTGTCTGTTGCTGTATGTGTTCCTGTCGGTCTGTCTTCCTGCCTGTTGCTGTATATGTTCCTGCCTGTTGCTGTATATGTTCCTGTCTGTCTCTGTCTTCCTGCCTGTTGCTGTATGTGTTCCTGTCTGTCTCTGTGTTCTTGTCTGTTGCTGTATGTGTTCCTGTCTGTCTCTATGTTCCTGTCTGTTGCTGTATGTGTTCCTGTCTTTCTCTGTGTTCCTGTCTGTCTCTATGTTCCTGTATGTTGCTATATGTGTTCCTGTCTGTCTCTGTGTTCCTGTCTGTTGCTGTATATGTTCCTGTCTGTCTCTGTCTTCCTGCCTGTTGCTGTATGTGTTCCTGTCTGTTGCTGTATGATTTCCTGTCTGTCTCTGTGTTCCTGTCTGTTGCTTTATGTGTTCCTGTCTGTCTCTATGTTCCTGTCTGTTGCTGTATGTGTTCCTGTCTGTTGCTGTATGTGTTCCTGTCTGTCTCTATGTTCCTGTCTGTTGCTGTATGTGTTCCTGTCTGTTGCTGTATGTGTTCCTGTCTGTCTCTATGTTCCTGTCTGTTGCTGTATGTGTTCCTGTCTTTCTCTGTGTTCCTGTCTGTCTCTATGTTCCTGTCTGTTGCTATATGTGTTCCTGTCTGTCTGTGTTCCTGTCTGTTGCTGTATATGTTCCTGTCTGTCTCTGTCTTCCTGCCTGTTGCTGTATGTGTTCCTGTCTGTTGCTGTATGATTTCCTGTCTGTCTCTGTGTTCCTGCCTGTTGCTGTATGTGTTCCTGTCTGTTCCTGCCTGTTGCTGTATGTGTTCCTGTCTGTTGCTGTATGTGTTCCTGTCTGTTGCTGTATGTGTTCCTGTCTGTTGCTGTATGTGTTCCTGTCTGTTGCTGTATGTGTTCCTGTCTGTTGCTGTATGTGTTCCTGCCTGTTCATGCCTGTTGCTGTATGTGTTCCTGTCTGTTGCTGTATGTTTTCCTATCTGTCTCTGCGTTCATGTCAGTTGCTGTATGTGTTCCTGTCTATTCCTGCCTGTTGCTGTATGTGTTCCTGTCTGTCTCTTTGTTCCTGTCTGTTGCTGTATGTGTTCCTGTCTGTTGCTGTATGTGTTCCTGCCTGTTTCTGTATGTGTTCCTGTCTGTCTCTGTGTTCCTGTCTGTTGCTGTATGTGTTCCTGTCTGTTCATGCCTGTTTCTGTATGTGTTCCTGTCTGTTGCTGTATGTGTTCCTGTCTGTTGCTGTATGTGTTCCTGTCTGTTGCTGTATGTGATCCTGCCTGTTGCTGTATGTGTTCCTGTCTGTCTCTGTGTTCCTGTCTGTTGCTGTATATGTTCCTGTCTGTTCATGCCTGTTGCTGTATGTGTTCCTGTCTGTCTCTGCGTTCATGTCAGTTGCTGTATGTGTTCCTGTCTATTCCTGCCTGTTGCTGTATGTGTTCCTGTCTGTCTCTTTGTTCCTGTCTGTTGCTGTATATGTTCCTGTCTGTTGCTGTATGTGTTCCTGCCTGTTTCTGTATGTGTTCCTGTCTGTCTCTTTGTTCCTGTCTGTTGCTGTATGTGTTCCTGTCTGTTGCTGTATGTGTTCCTGCCTGTTTCTGTATGTGTTCCTGTCTGTCTCTGTGTTCCTGTCTGTTGCTGTATGTGTTCCTGTCTGTTCATGCCTGTTTCTGTATGTGTTCCTGTCTGTTGCTGTATGTGTTCCTGTCTGTTGCTGTATGTGTTCCTGTCTGTTGCTGTATGTGATCCTGCCTGTTGCTGTATGTGTTCCTGTCTGTCTCTTTGTTCCTGTCTGTTGCTGTATATGTTCATGTCTGTTTCTGTATAGGTTCCTGTCTGTTGCTATATAGGTTCCTGTCTGTTTCTGTATTTGTTCCTGCCTGTTGCTGTATGTGTTCCTGTCTGTCTCTGTGTTCCTGTCTGTCTCTGTGTTCCTGTCTGTTGCTGTATGTGTTCCTGTCTGTTCATGCCTGTTTCTGTATGTGTTGCTGTATATGATCCTGCCTGTTGCTGTATGTGTTCCTGCCTGTTGCTGTATGTGTTCCTGTCTGTCTCTTTGTTCCTGTCTGTCTCTGTATATGTTCCTGTCTGTTGCTGTATGTGTTCCTGTCTGTTGCTGTATGTGTTCATGTCTGTTTCTGTATAGGTTCCTCTCTGTTGCTGTATAGGTTCTTGTCTGTTGCTGTATAGGTTCCTGTCTGTTGCTGTATAGGTTCCTGTCTGTTGCTGTATAGGTTCCTGTCTGTTTCTGTATATGTTCCTATCTGTCTCTGTGTTCCTGTCTGTTGCTGTATATGTTCCTG